ACGAGACACGGAATACACCAAAAAATGAGGTCTATATATATAGATATAGTGTATCCCTGTATACAAAACTCCAAAAGAACGAAAAATATTTTTTTTTTTAAACAATGTAACCGTGACACAGGCACTCGTCTTCTTCCACCATTCCACACCAAAGTCATTCGCTACTTCTCCGGCCACCCGAAGTCTTGGCCCAATACGTCATACAATTTTTGGTTGTGCTGGCCGAAGTGTTCCCGGAGTTTGGCCACGACCGATGGCCGGACGTCCGGGTGCTTCCGGCCTTTGGTCTCCTTCAGGCACTTGTCCACAGGCCCATACCGCAGACAGTAGAACCCCTTAGTCCGGTTGAAGTAGAAGTTGTCGGCGCTGATCCTGTGTTCGAGGCCCAGAAACGTCTCGATGCGGTTCAACTCGGACACGGGGTTGGTGATGAGTCGGTCGCCGTTGACCACGAATAACTGTTCTCTGGGGAATACGTCCAGCCACCGGTAAACGTGGTTATGGTATGTGGACACGGACACCGGCCGGTAGTTGGTATTGACCGTGCCGTCCGGCTTCACCACCAGCTGCTCGAACGATCTACTGCTGCGGTTCGCCAATGGATTGCTGTGCAACTGCGTATAATCCGATATGGCCCTGATCACGGGGTCCCTGAGGATGAGAAGAAGCTTAATGCTCGAATTCATCGCCTTGATGCGTTCTGGTACCTGTAAATGAGACTTCCAAAGTAATAACGTTCGTATAATATTATGTTAGGTGTAGTTTATGGTATAAATTATAATACGGAGGTACCTTGTACTTATATGTATGATATTATATTATATAGGCAGGGACTATATTATAAACATAAGCGTGCGATCCGTTTAGGTAAAAATACGCTTAAAATTATATTTGTCAGTACTTAGTTGATCCTGTCATGTTTTAATAGATTTTGAAAATACATGTCTTCATGTATAATAATTTACATTTTACGATTATTTCTTAATATTTAAATTAGTACCCAAAATGTTTAGTTCCAATTGCTTTAAATTTCGATATTTGATTAATTTATTTTATTACATAAATTATACATACTATATATTTTCTAATATGAAATATTAATAATTATGTATGTTACTATAGAAAATTTATTTTAACTATAAACTAATATACTTGTTTCACAGAATAGATGTCAAATTATAAGATTATACTGTAAAAAGTGTGTTGTTTTAAATTTATAATAAATATTTCAAACTGTACAAACATAATAATATGCTTTATTGAAAATTATGAAAATTGACTAAGAGAATTAGTGTAGACAATTGGATCACTCCATATAGGTAAATACATTTTAGTAGTAATTTTTGTTGTTTTATGTTTACTATTATCATTACGTTAAACAACCTGATTCGTGAACAGTCATATGTTTTGTCAAACGAGCACTCATCATATTGAGTTTTCACGGATTGTGAATTGCGAGCCTGGTGTAATATAGTACCTACTTTTAATAATTCCTGTGCTAAATATTTATAAATATAAGACAAAATATATTAAAATTACAAGTTTTTTCATAAATCATTATTTATCAAAGTTAATAAAATATCATAAAAGTTCTACAAGTTAAAAATGTACTATAAATAAATTGTTTTGAAACTAAACATTTAAAAAATAAGTAATTGTATTATTTTATGATACAGAATTGTTTAGTTAGTGTAATAAGTACGAATGCTGAATTGACACGAAAAAATACGTATAACTCAAGATGTATTGAGACGGAAAATACCATTAACATGCCTTTGTTTAAACAAAAATACTGAAGTCAATTTGTAATGATAATCCTACTATTTGTCCATTAAAATGATTAGTTTATTATTTTAATATTAATTTATATTTGAAAACGTATTAAAAAAATTAAAGTCATACTCTGATGTTAATATGTCTCCGTAACACACTGCATATCACATTGTATGTTCATAATAATCTGTTTAATTATGTTTTTTTTTTATATATATATATTTTTT